CAAACACATATGGAGACAGATTCCCTGCTGCAAAGATATTTTAAAAGGTACAAAAACCTAGACTACTTAAAGGCTTTTTCAAGGCCATAAATTCTTACATCAGATAGGAACTTTCATAAACAAAATGTCAGGTCCTCTTTTTTGTGTGTTGTTTATGATGTCAAGTTGCTAATCTTGCATAAAGTTCTTCCCCAGCTAAAGGGTGTTGGCTGAAGCAACTCCCACATGCCAAAAATGTGTTCTGTTGCAGTAGATCTTAATTTCAATCAGCTGATGAAACAAATGTGTATTAAAGTGGGAGGATTAGACAGCTCATCACGATGAGTTCTGCATCTTCTTCCTTCTCTTTGTAGTTTAACTATAGACTAACAAGAGTTGGCCCCTTGTTTCTTGTGTCATCAATCAGCCACTGAGCCGAAATCTGAGCCTTCTCTTCCCCTCACCCCCAGATGGTAGGAAAGGGCAAAGATTTATTTTAATTAGAGAATTTAATTAATTTACCCCTAACTCTTGTTGTTGAATTATAGAACAAAATGAGTAAATTTTGGTCTTTGAAAATTTACTACAAAAATTTCTTCATTATTTGCCAAAATATACTAGTTTACTTTTAGCAGTTAAATATGAGAATGAAAAAGTATATACCCTGGAAAAATATTAAATACAATAAAATTAATGACTGAAACATTAAAGATAAACAGAATTGCATAAGCTATCTTACATAAGCTGTTTTTTAAAAAGCATTAGATATACAAGATAAAGGAATACAACAAAGTTGATGCAACTCCAAGTGGAAAGCACTATTTGAAAAGAAATTATTTTTATAACTTTTATAACAGATATATGTATACTTATTATAACCCATAACCTGTTTAATATATTGGGCCAGATCCTCAGATGTTGTAAATTAGTTGATTTATATCAGTGGAGGATCTGGCCCATTAATTCTACTGTTGTGATTTTAAATGACTACTATCTATTATACATCACCATGTTGATTTTGTAGTGTGGAATCATGTGAATGCAATAGTACAGAGAAGCATGTAAAATAAGTATTATTTTAAGCCATTCTTTCCACTTATTGGGAAAATAAAAAGCAAAATTAGCCTATAAAAATAACACCTTGGATTTTTGTTTGTTTACTTCGTTCTGGTAGTTTTGTCCAGATTTTAAAGTTTTAGGTACATTCAAAAGGATCACAGTAAAAGATATTTGCCTAATGATTTCAAAAGAGTAATTAAAAAAAATGACACTACTGCTGCTTCTTTGACATAATCCTCCCTGTATAATGTATAAATTAAAAGAAAAGTATACAAAATATTTTTAAAGGTTTGATGTTGTTCCTCTGGAAATCAATGGTACCAGCATCTGTGCCAAAACATGTAATGATTCCATCTTCCTTAACTCTAATAACAATATGTGAATTGCTCATCAAACAACCTGTCTGGGAGGGGAAAAACAAATTATTGTTGTGAGGTTGAGCTCATTTTCTGTTCTCAGGTCACAATAAGCATAATGCCATTCTGTGGCACAAAACTCTCCCATTACAGTGCCAGGCTTTTTAGCTTAACAATTGCCCTACTATGTTCCAGATAATTGCAGGCCCTTTTTCATTACGAGTTTTCCTAGGACAGCTTGGGACTGTAAATTAAAACCAGGTGGCATAAACAGTGGTATGTATTCAAATTACATTCATGTACCATAAAATAAGAAGACTCAGCAACATGTTTACCACTTACTTTATGTTGAAGGTTTAAGCTGTTTTCTCGCTGTGGAATATAAAGTTCTTTATTTATTACTCTTATCAGGTTTGGTAAATAATGGTCTTTAATTTTTCATAGAAATCTAGGATTCAGCCCTCAAATGCTGAGTATTTACGGCATATGTTATATGTGAGGTGTGTTACATCTCACTGACATTAGGAGATGAGGGTGCTCATAGAATAGACGGTGATCAGCACCTTTTTGATTTGAGCCCCATTGGTGCATTTTCTTCTGAGAACATTAAAAACTACTAAAACTCAGAAATCAGTATTGTAATGTGTTAGAAACTGAATGGTTATATCAGTTACATAGTAAAGGATTCCTTCCTCCCACCTCCTGCAAACACCCACTTTTTATTGGATTAAGAATCAACATATAAATCAAACAAAAATGATATCCTCATCCATGATTGCAGAATCCCCATTCCAAAAGGAGAAAGGTGAAACCAACACTAGACACGATGTATGCACATTAGCTATTATGCTTGTGGTGTTTATTATTTGCTATTAAATCATCATAACAGACAATATATAATAATAAACACAAAAAGAGAGACAAAACCCTGCTGAAAAATAGCATGAGACAGAAGGGAGAAAGAGGGGGAGATGGGAAGAAATTGTGTACTGTTTGATTCACATAACCCTCATATGTTGATTTTTTTATTTAATGTTAAAGGATAGCTAATTAACCAATGTTCATTAATAAATGTGCAAAGACCTTAACGCAGGTTCTTTATGCTCAGCTTGGATATTACTGAAGACCTCAAGCTGAAATATGTAAATCCCATTTTTCGTAGTACTTGTTTCTCTTCTTTCATTATATGGAATAAAGAGTCTTAATTTTTTTATACTGCAAGTGATCCAATGTTTTATTTTTATTTTATTGAGAGTGGCAGGACTATCCCAAATCGTGGTTTTATAGAGTTCAGCTATATTGGAAATTAGGAATATCAACTTGATGTGTGTCCTATTAAATTCTACAAGAAGGCATCTGATTTTATACTCAAGCTTACTTTCACAATACCTGGGTCACATTTTTCTGGATTCACAGAAAAATGTTCAGTAAAATGCCTCAACAGAAAAACAATTGGAGTCAGTGACTGGACACTAGGAATGAACTTGGCCCTAAATCTTTTTTTAAACAACCTCCTTATGTCTGGCAACATCTGAAAGACAACAAGAAATAGTTGTTAATCACTAAATTTTTTGTTGGTCTGGAATCAAAGGAACAAATACTACTTATGATATATGCAGGGATGAAAGAAAGCAAAATTCCGGGTGTACTGACTCACTGCTTTGCTTATTTATACTGTAAGCTGAGCTAAGAGGTGGTGCAAGGAGCTGCCAGGAGAGGCAGAACAGCAATTATAGTTGCTGCACTTTTGACAAAGAGCATTATTAATCATAACTGAAGAATTACAGTTCCAAATTATGCATATGACATGTATTGCTGCTTTTTAAAATACATTGGGCCATATTTGTTTACTGGTTTAGCTGACATGAAAAACAGCAGAGTGCCCTGCTGTGGAAAATGGGGAAATAGGGTTGTAGCAATGCAAAGTGACCATAGCTTCACTTATGAGTGGCCACTGTTAGAGGTAATAATAGCACTCAAATGGTGATTGCTGTCTTAACATTTTTTATCAGTATTATGAGTACAGATTGAATATTGTGCCACAACAGCAAATCTCTTCCATTATCTTATCTCACAAATGATGAACTCTGCTGTAGATTTTGGAGCTGAAGGCCCTTCTACATCCTTTTCTGCTGCTCATTTTTTTAGCTTTTAGAAAAATTTAGGAAAACATCCTCCTCCATTAGCCAACAAAAGAAACAAATGGTTTTCTACAATAAACATAACCTCTAGTAAAAAAGGTCACTTAATACTGTAACTAAGAAGGAAGTTACAGACAAAATTCCTGTTAATAAGAATGGGAGTTCTGTGGATAATTCAATTTTTTTGTTCATTGCTTTGAAAATCTTAGCTCTCTCAAGTGCTTCCTGTGGGATAATCAACATCTCCTAAATCCTTGCTCCTTCTGTTCTCTCCTTTTGGCTGTATGGATTACTATCAGAACATTCATCTCTCTTTCAGGCTCCAGAAGACTAGCTTGACCAGGCTCAGAGACATTGCTTGAGGACTTTGAGTTGAGGAGCTTGTAAGCCAGGGTTCCTGAGGTAAAGGCCTCTTAAACAGTTATTTCAATCTGTCTGACTGTTCTTTCATGTGTCTGAAGCTACTTCTAGCTACAATTAATATTAATCATAAAATCATCATCAGTATGTACTAGTAATAATACAACCTTTATCTTGTGGGACCCGAAAGCAACTAGTAAGCTTATAGGGTGACGATGCACCAATCTGGAGCATCAGAGGATGATACATATATATGTTTGAGATTTTATACAATATTTTACATAGTAATGCTACTATCCTGTGCACTAACTTGCAAGAAGAGGGGACAGGGCCATCTGGTTATTGAATGTGAAAAGGGAGCTCCAGAGAAAGTATTCTGGATTGAGGAATTCAGTGGAACATACATTCTTTCCTATGGAGTAAAGTTTTAGGCTATTGACTCCCAAACAATCAACAGAGAACTTGCTGGTGGTCTATCCCTAAAGAGCAAGCTGGTCACATGATGCTGGCTCTCTTCCTTGACACCGACCCCCAAACTGTATTAAAAATAGCTGCAAATATATTAAAATGATTGCCTAATATCACTTTTCTATATAAGCAATTGCTGTAGTAGCCAGAGGTTGTTATGTGAATGGGTGAGAAGGTGGTCCCTATGATTACAAATGGGAAGTGGTTTGCAACATAGTAAAAGTTTTGCAACCCCCTTACATCTAGCATAGAATTTGAGTGATTTAACTGGCTGTGACTAAGTAGCAGATAACTGTATGATTACACTCCCCCCTCCCTTCAACCCAACCTGGAAACACATTAAGACACTAAAGGGGAAGTGTAGGTAGACTCATATCAGGAATCAAATTAATTCATTTTGCTTTATTACAGCTGCAGGAAATGTTGAGCCAAGGCTGATGACAACTGAAAATGAGTATATAGAGGGATTATTCTGCACAAATATACATAGGCTCCTATTTGAAAATATGGTGGTTGTCTCTATTGGAAACTGTGGTGTTTTGAAAGTTGTGTTAAAATTGTGATTTATTACTTTAAATTATCAAAGGTCTTCAAATTTCCTGCCCCTGCTTGCCCCTATGGGTCTTTGTAATGAAGCATGAGATCTGGGCCTGGCAGTAGCCAGACCAAGGTAAGCTGTGGCCTGTTTTTCAGAGCAGTCTGCTTTGTCTCTCTCTGGTTTGTGCATGTGTTACTATTCTGAATTCCAAGAAATAAAGTTATGTTGCATTTTCCAGCAAGAGTATTTTTTTTTAATCTAATATCTCTCTTTGTATGCTGTGCCTGTAACAGAAATTAGTTTAGGCCATAAATTATAAGTAATGTTAACAATGTATTCTAGGCTTTCCTTCAGTCATTGTATTTTCATTATTTAAATGTTTTCACCCCTCAGCTCATAGATGCTAATTCCTTCCCTGTCACCCTGATATTGGCAGCAATGGTACAGTCTGTTTTTAACAGAAGAGGAATGGGTAACAGCACTACCACGTTTCCAGCGCCTTTAAAGGCTAAAATTACTTTTCCCACTCTGAGAGGGGTAGCCGTGTTAGTGTGGATCTGTAAAAAGCAACAGAGGGTCCTGTGGCACGTTTAAGATAACAGATGTATTGGAGCATAAGCTTTCGTGGGTGAATGCCCACATGCGTCTGATGAAGTGGGCATTCACCCAGGAAAGCTTATGCTCCAATACATCTGTTAGTCTTAAAGGTGCCACCGGACCCTCTGTTGCCTTTTCCCACTCTGGAGCGAACAACGCTAAACTCGTGGGAAACTGGGGGCTTCTCCTCCAGGTCGCTGTTGCTCTGCCTCTGACCGCGGCTGGCCTGCAGGCGGTGGTGGCTCCTTGACGGGGGCGCGGCGCACCTGCCTGCGCTACTCCCCCTCCCCCGGCGTGGCTCCCAGCGCCTGGCCTGCCCCCGTCCGCGCCAGGCCGAGCTGGCAGCCTGCCCACGAAGGCGGCGCGGCGACTCCCTGCTGCGGGGAGTCAGGTGAGCCGCTGCCGCTCCAAGGCGTGTCCAGTCCTGGGCGCTGCCGCGCGGCTACTAATCCCCACCCCGGCCCAGCTCGCCCGCACTTTCTGCCCCGCGTCCCAGCTCCCCTCCGCCGTGCCCAGCTCCCCGTCTCGGGGTGGGCGCCCTGCGGGCAGCATGTACGGCGGCCAGCAGCAGTTGCAGCCCCAGGCGCTGCCCCAGCACCTGCAGCATCACCGGCCGCAGCACCACCGGCCCGAGCCCTGCTACCACACGCTGCCTCTGCCGCACCACCGGCCTCGGCAGTGCCCCGAGCCGCTGCCGTGCTACGAGCCGCCGCCTCGGCAGAACCGGCCCCGGCCGTGCCCCGAGCCGCTGCCGTGCCACGACCTGCCGCCGCCCCTGCAGAGCCGGCCCCGGCCGTGCCCCGAGCCGCTGCCGTGCCCCGAGCCGCCGCCCCTGCCGAGCCGGCCCCGGCAGTGCCCCGAGCCCCTGCCGAGCTGGCCCCAGCAGTGCCCCGAGCCGC